ACGCCCAGGTAAATTGAGTTTGAGACCCCCGCATAAATAATAGGGGTGTGTAGAAGCCTCCTGGCCAACTTTGAACTCAAAAAGGGGGGCATACAGTTTATGTTTAATCCACCTTGTACCCTTTAGGAGACATTCCAACCAGTTCCATTCCTGAGTCTGTAATATTATCTGTGCATTTCCAGATATCTATTGAACAAACAAAATTCCAACTGAGTGGTGGGACTCAAACAGCTATCACTTAATGCTTTAAAGTTTATTTTCAATTCAATTCAGTGAATATCTTTTTAACCCTACAGATTCTGATATGAAAGACCCATTGTGGTGCTGCTCCATCTGAGGCTGAATAGCACATCTTTGCTCTGACCCACAATTATCCTGGGATTGGCCCATTTTTGCACATGTGTTTGAAGGCATTGTATATGGTTAATAAATACAATAACAGAATGCCTGTACAGAAATAAATATCCATCCCTCTCCCCCAAAAAGGTGTTTTTTCCCCCTATTGTGATAGGAGTCACATTTTTGATAGAGTGATTGGTGGGGCATGAAATACAGAACATTGAGAGCCACTGTTCCATCTGAATCACAATTAGCATCAGTCTGGACAGCTCCTGCATAAAAATAGATGCATGCAAGTGATTAGGCTTCTTATTCCCACAAAGAAAACTATGTGTGGATTGTTCCTCCTGTCTTCAGACTTTTTAACCAATCACTCATTGGCCTTAAGTTGTGATCAAGACATGCATGAGAATCATAAGGACAAGGCTAATCAACACATCCTCAGAAGGCTGTTCATACATTGTTACCAAACACATCTAAGGATGGTTTATGAGTTGAATTCATTATTGCATCATTCAAATATAGAAAACATCTACTTATTTTTATTTAGAACAAAGTCCAGGACACTTCTCACAGGTGATTCTCTCCTTCATTGCAGATTTTTAAACAGAGTGTTGATAACCACCTATCAAGGATGCTTTAGCTATGAATTTCCTCCACTGGGGGGGGGCTAGAGTCAATGTCCCTTCTAACACTACAATTCTATTATTCTAACTCATAACACAATAATATATAATACAATTAGCTATTATTTTGTGACAAACACAAAAATAAAGTTACCTGCACAAATAAAGCAATAATAGCTATGCCGTTCTTCTTTCCGATAGCTTCATCAATATTGCGATACATGGTGGAGTTCCAGTGAACTAAATGTAACTAAAGATAAAAGGAAAGAGAGAATGTCACTCATTGGAAAAATATACTTTTCGGCAAAGAATCTCTGGAGCGTAGGCTGCTGGAGACTTTTGCAGACCCTGTTTATCACCTACTCATTTGCCAAAATCCTTTTGGTCATTTATGTCAGCATAAGTGCAAAGATGTAAATCACAGTGATGAATTGCTGCAGTCAAAGTATTTCTACCTATATTCCTTGTCTCATGCCATTTCCATGATAAGGAACAGAAGTGGAATCTCATTAACTAACAGCAACCTGCCACTGCGGTTTTACACCACTCTACTTATGCTGCCATAATTACAAAAGGACACTAGCTATTATCTCTCTTTTTTTCACCATTTTCATATTGTTCTTTGAAAGAAAAATCCAGAATGTTCACCAAAAGAAAGTGGGTTTTCTGATGCTGTTGTTATTTTGGAAACACCTCTGCAACTACAAGGCAAAACAAAACAAAAACTATTGTGGCATATTTAAGACTAACATATTTATTTCAGTGTGATATTTTGTGGTTACAATCTACTTTTTTAGATACATGGAGCACAACTTAAGAAATGGGTTGTAGTCCATAAAAACTCACACAGCAATACATCTGTTTTTGTTTTTGCTGAAACAGGTTAACAGGTTCTTTTTGAAAACAATGATATTTCATCCTACATTAAAAAAACATACAAACAGCAAACAAAGGCCAGTAAGCAGTGAAAAATAGATGTAAACCATCAGTGAATAGTCAGTGTAATACATTTGTTTTCACATGGTACCTGGAAAGTAAGAGAAGGAGGGAGAGAGGGGAAAGGAGCAAAAGAGTTTTTTTGTTGTTTCATTTTTCAGTTTTTTAAATTGTTCTTCTACATTGTGAAATAGACTAATGATAAGAAATCTTAGAAATCACTCATTCATAGGATTGCTGTTCATTGGAAGCAACCTGACAGCACATCATAACAACAACAAATGTTTCTACTGTTTAAATCAGCCAAAGCCATCCTCGGAGAGTCTCTACCATGCTATGCTAAGGGAGCAGAGTTGTATCTTATAGACCCATTGTTAATGCCGCCACCATCATTGGGCCTACCCCCACAATATTGGTTTTCACATCAAGGCATCCTTACAAATCCTATCCATCAGGGTGGAAACTGTTGTATGTAGAGGTCCACTTTCCTTCAGAAGATAGGTTTCAGGGGCTGCAGAGCAATATGCAAAGGTCTGGATCAGTCCCAAGTCTGTCAAAGCTAAATGTGGACAGATTTTACATCCTCCACTGACTTCCTCTTGTGCATACACTGAATCTCTGCCCATAAATCAGAACCCTATAAAACTAGGCTGAGAAAACAATAATTTAAAGCAAGCTTTTGCCAGCCATGTTAATATATGTAATAATAATAATGTAGCAAAGGTATCTTAATGAAATAGGGATCAAAACAGAAAAAAATGAACAGTGAAATCCAGTTTCAGAACTTGGTGCTTAAATTCACAAGCTAGTTTGTTAAGTACCAGCCACTGAAACAATCTCCGTTGTAGTCACAGTAAGCTTTCTTTTCATATTAAAAGATCATGTTAAAAAGAACAGTAAAATATTCATATTTGGTAAAACACAATTAGACAGAAGGCACTTATCACTCAGCTTGGTATTCAGCAAGTGTTGTGTGTTGAATGAATATAAAGAAGCAAATTATACTGTTTTACTTTGCTCTTTTCCGTTGTCAGTTTTACATGCATACATAATTTTACCTGCTTCTAATGTTAAATGCTTCATTTAAATGCCAAATCATAGGATGACATTTCAGTCCCAGACTCTTGTAAAACAAAAGCAACAAAATAAAATAGCATCATCCAAACAGGACGCAAGCTAATGTTGATGTCAAGTTGTCAAGCGCAACAAGCATCTTTTGTTGACTTATTTTTCTTTCATTCTCCACTAGGGGGTACACCTGCTGCCTGATAAGCAGACTCTACAGTAGAAGGAAAAGGAGGGGGGAAATCAAACTTCACACTTACGAGGTAAAGCCAAAAGAAAAAAAATAAAGAAGACAAAAACACTGTGGTGCCTTAAAGATTAACGGCTATATTTTAATGTGCACCTTTGTGGACAAGTCCAGTTCTTCAGACTTGTCCATGAAAGCTCACATTAAAATATAGTGGTTATTTTCTTATTCTTAATTTATTTTTTATACTTTTATAAAAAGAGGCCACACTGGACAAGGTACAGAAGAGGGGAAAAACAAAGTCAGTAATTATAAAATGCCAGCATAATAAAACAATACACCAACATTATAAAATAAAATGAACAACAAATCAAAATACAACTGTGATAAATTAAATTAATCAGTAAATAACATTCAAACTTACAAACATTAAAAACAGGCGGTGACAATGGGTATTAAATATGTACACTCTAATATACAGCTACTAATCATAGAATCATAGAAAAGTGAAGTTGGAAGGGGGCTACAAGGCCATCAAGTCCAAACCCCTGCTCAATGCAGGAATATACAATCAAAGCATATCTGCCAGGTAATTATCTACGTTTTTCTTGAATGCCTCCAGTGTTGGTGCAGTCACCAAATCCCCAGGTAACTGGTTCCACTGTTGTACTGCTCTAACAGTTAGGAAGTAGTGGATGGAATAGTTGACGGAATAGTTTGAAAAGGCTAGTCTTTAAGATGGCACAACATGTTTGTCTTCTTTAATTTTTTTTCTTTTGGTTTTGCCCGATACATTAGCATAGACTAACATGGCTACCTCTTCTGAAACTTAAACTTCATGAAGATTCATAGAAAGAAACTCTGTGTATTGAAGAGTTAAAGCTCTAGGTAGAATACAATGCTCAGTACTGTTCCTATTGTTATCTTACTAATGTCAACATAGATCTTGATGCGAAAAGTTATAACAATGCTACAAGAGTCTTGTTAAGCTGCCAAGTTTGCAGTGACCATTTTTTAAGGAGTCAACAGAAAACCTCTTGGAGGTTTTTCATTGTGGTGCTGCATTCAGGGAAGTAAAGAACTGAATCAGGTACCTTCACCTTTGATTTTTTTTTAAAAAAGCAAGGATTTATTACAGGAATTGTATATATATGGGGAGGGTGTTAAATAAAGGGAAGGAAATATGATGATACCCATCAAGAAGAGCCTACTTTTGGATACCCCCCCACACAAAAAATGAATGACATTTTACTCTCAAAAACCTACATACAAAATGTATACATATGGAAAAAATATTTCAGTTTAAATGGTAAAATGCATAAAAAGCTGATTTTGCTGTGACTTTCACATCCCATGGAGCTGTTAGGCAACCTGAGAATAGTGCAAATACATTTAGTTACATCAGTGCATTTTATGCACTGAAGCACTGGTAAAATCCAAATGTGTTCCAAAGCACCACTGTATTTTTTGCTGAAGGCTACAAAAAAATTAAATGTGCACTCGTGAATCACAATTGATAGCACTGTTCTGAGTGAGATAAGAATGACAGCAGACTCGAATTTAAAAGACCTAGGATCCAACTCTACTCTGTTGTTTTCCCAAGCCATCATCAGAAAAATCAAGGAGAATTCCCCAGACCATTGATAGGCCCCATTTACAGGCCTGGCAATAAAATCTCCTTATTACCAGTAAAAAAGAGAACAACATTTAGAAAGGAATCTCACAGGGTAAGGCTGAGGCAGAATTCCTCTCCTGCCCAGGTCAACAATGCCTAGATTGGAGCAGAGGTGGCATATGTAAAAGAGGAACTGCGCTTCTTCGGGAGCAAATTATGGCAGTGCCTTGGATTAGGATGAATTTTAAATTTTAAACTAAACCAGATTAATTTGGGGCAATTTGTATGAGGTCCAGGTGAAAACAAAATGGGCAAATTTGGTTCCAAGGTAAGAAGCAGCAAATTCACATACCAGTCTGAGTCCAAATCAAATCAGCCTGAATAAAATCAGATGGGAATTGGGGGAAATTTTGCTTCAGCCTTTTCTTTTTTTCAATAAGGCAAACTTTGAAGGTGCCCAGAACAAAAATCCCTAAAGCTACCTATGTGAAATGGGGCTTCCTGCTTTAGAATCTATCATGCCTCCGAATTTCATGTGCGTCAGTGCAAAAAAAGAAAATTGCAGCCATTTTTGTTTCAATGGGAACCTTACAAATTGATTGGATCCAGGAGCAAAATTGGTGATTTGGATGGGGTACGAATCATTTTAGACCCAACTGGCCGATAACCAAACCCCCCAAACAGATTGGGGGACCATGCAGTGCCTTAGAATGAATCACGTCCTGATGGAACTGCCTCTTTGGTGTAAATCTTTTAAAAAGTTCCTTGTTTTTTTTTCTGTTTGACCCTTTAGTCTTTAAAAATGTAGTCTTTAGAATTTAAGAATCCAATTTAAATCATAAATTGTCAGGGATGGGGACTCGAGTCTTGAGACTTGCTGTCAAGATGGACTTAAGTCATGCTGGTGACTCAACTCAGACTTGACTTGGGTTTTCTTTTTCAATGACTCAGAGTCAACTCATCACTTGGAACCCACCCCTACTTTTTTCCTGTGGGAAAAAGCTTGTTTTTAACAGGTACTCAGACTTGGGACTTGGGACTTGGGATGAAAGATTCAGACTCAGACTTGGGACTTGGACACAAAGACTTGCCAACATTGCTGTAAATTGTATGACTCTTAAACTAAGTAAGGCTTCGGCCACATTAGCAAATGGTTGACAAAATACTTCTGGATTGCAACAGGCTGCATGTGTTGTTGTCATTGTTGTTGATCAGATGATGCAAAAGAAAATGAGACTCAGTGGGAGTTCTCCCCCAAACCATAATTTTTGCCCCTGCCTCTTCAGGCTTCTACCATTTTTTTAACATCACATCCATTGTCATTGGTTCTGGCAATGTGATTGTTTAAACCAGTGGTTCCCAATCTTAAGTTCCCAGAGGTTTTTGGACTAAAACTTCCAGAAACCTTCACCACTAGTTGTGCTGGCCAGGATTCTTGGGAGTTGTA